CACACACACACACACACACACACACACACACACACACACACACACGTCCTGCCTCGTCATCAGTCATGTGACCCGCAGGTTTCAGGAACTTCAGAGAGCTGCTGAAGAGGAGCAGACCAACAATCAGTCACTCCAGATACCGACTCGTCCTCTGGTCCACCCCCCACCAGATGAAATGCACATCTGTCTCCTTTTCAAAATAAAACTGCAGTGGGCTTTTATTGTGACAAGCCCGAGGCTCACCTGTGGCTCAGTGATGCATGACGTCCTCTGACAGGTTAGAAAAAGTCTGACATCTTCAATTTAAACCAAAACAAAAATGTGATGTGATGATTTCAGTTTTTAAACTGACACTCAGTGTGAACTCGTGTCCTGCTCCTCACACACTCAGTTTCCAACCTGAGACTTTGATCTACCCACGTCAGGAATGATGTCAGTGGTGGTTTGTGATGTTAATGATGTTAATGAGATTAAATATGTTTGTGATATTAAAGATGCTGGACTGACAGGACAGACATGTGCAGACTCACCAGGCTGGCGGCGTACATAGGCACAATGACCGGCTGCTTCTTCTGTCCCGTGAACAGCTGCACACAGAGAGTCAGTCAGTGTGGTGTTGCAGCAGAGGTTACTAAAGGTCACAGATTCAATCACGTCTAAGGACTGGATTCAGATCTGGTTAAATGTTGTTGCTAGGAGACAGAGGGTCCAACAGGAACTTACGATGTTTCTGGTGTCGATGCCGAGGCAGCAGAGCAGAGCTTTGTTGCAGTGGGAACCCCCCCACTGGTACCTGAGGCCGAACGCCTCGTGGATGTCCTGAAGCTGCGTCCACACACCGCCACGCACAGACCTGAACCGACCAATGAGACGAGAGGAAGACGAGGTCAACAGAGAGACAGAGAGTAAGTTAATAAACGACCAGTCGAAACAGGTCTGAAACACAGATCTGTAACTCCTGCCTCTCAATCAAAACAATAACAACAGACGACGGATGATGTCATGAAGGAGTGGGGGATCATGGGAGTTGTAGTTTGGATTCCTTCAGTGTCAGTGGTTCAGGTGAGTCTGAGCGACGCTGTACGGAGGACAGAGACTCAGAGAAGAGCTGCAGCTGAGGTTGATGCTAACCTTTGTTCTGACTGTTTCTCTGATCGCTCATGAACCAGACGTTCAGCAGGTTTTTACCAGCAGCTGAACGATCCACAGAGGAGTCCTCCTCTCCACAACAAACACACCGGGGATTAAACCAGGAGAAACTCTGAATAAAACAGTTTGACTTTAGACATCAGAGATTGAGCCACGCTCCTCAGAGACAGGACAGGACGTCTCCAGCAGCTGCAGCTGAGCAGCTTGTTCCTCTGATAAAGATCCAGACGTCTGACGACTAAAATCATCTGCTGCAAACAACCAGCTGAAAACACCCAGGTGGAAAAAGTGTCTGTGGCTTAAAACGAGATAAAAGTCAAAACAAACTAGAGCCTGACCGATAGTGGATTTTTGGGGCCGGTGCAGATACCAATATTAGGGAGTAAAAAAATGTCTACATCTTTATATATATATAGATATACATACACAAAATGCTGCCTATATAACTTGACATTTCCACTGAATTATTGCTTCTTAATAAAAGTATTTCAGCCCATACTGGAGAATGGCGCTCTAAATGAAACGTGACCAGGATTAAAATCATTGATTTCTCTGGTTTGAGAATTGATGGAAAGATCTGTGATGATGTAAGAACACAACTCAACATGTAGAACGTAGAACAGAGGTTTAGAGGCTTTTAGACGTTCTAATGAGGAAAAGCTACGGATGAGAATCTGATTGATCTGTGTCTGTAACTGATCAGATCAATAAACGTCACAGACTAACCTGAAATCTTTCTGAACCTTGTATCTTTAGGTTCACACTCACCTGCTGCATGGTGACCTCTTCCCCTCCTCCCCTCCTGGGGGGTCCAGCAGGATCTTCAGGGACACCACCTGGTCCTCCACAGGGGGGGCGGCGGCCTGAGGGAAGCTGCTGTGAAACACCTTCTCCAGACGGCCGGACAGCGACGCCTGCAGAGAGCACAGCACCGATAAGAAGCTTTTCAGAGAGATCTTCGTCGAACCTGAAGAAACCACTCGTTCAGGAAACACTGAGCTGATCTGTTCTCATCAAAGATCCTCTCTAAGGCTCCGCCCACACAGACCTCATCCTTTTCAAACTCGTCTCTTCTGCTACGTTTCCTCCTCCGTCCACACGACTCCAGGGTTTTGTAAACACTGCTGGACCCGTTTTATTTTGACAACGCTTGTGTTTTAGCATTTAGCAGTACAACAGAGAATGTAAGTGAACAACAGCTGCAAAGACAACAAGGTCAGTAACACTGTCATTCATTATCATGTTGTTTTCACCACTGGTAGTCCAGGCCGATGAGAGCCAATCAGGAGAGACCGTGGCTGTGACCTCATCATTTACAAAGGTCTTAGTTTCTGTCCGTCCAGATACAACACAACCCCAGAATCTTCAAAATAAAACAGGTCCTGCAGAGTTACTGAAAGTGCTTCAGACCCTGGAGTCGTGTGGACGGAGGAGGAAACGTAGCAGAAGAGATGAGTGAGTGAATGTTTCATGAATTTCCCCTCGGGGATACAAAAAGTATCTATTTATTTATCTCTATCTGAGTTTTAAAACTAAAACGTATCAGTGTGGGCGGAGCCATTATTGTAAATGTTTGCACGTGTTTTCAAAGCCTCACCAACTGCTCTTTGTTCACTGGATGGGGGCTGAAACATCCAGGAAAGGATAATATGAAATATACATTCATGTAAACAGTTGTTGCTGAAAGTTTTACACTAATCTAAAAAACATTTTTACCCGAAATAAGAATCTTTAATTTTCTAAAATAATCTCTTCTAGTGATTCCACGCGTTAATATAGTTCATGTAGAAATGAATAAAAACATGCATAAAAACATGGAGGGACACACGTCTGGGTAACGATCAGGTTTAGCTCCAAGAATTCATCACTTCAAAAACTTTTTTAAAAAGGTCCCATGAATTTAACAGAAGTAGCACATGAGAGTTTTCAAGAAAAGAACTGTTCTAGTTGAGAACCGGTTCCAAAGCATCTGAACCATGTTCCTTCAGAGTTTATCAGTGTTTTAATCAGTTGATGCTGCCATGTTTGTTAGGGTTACACACCCTGGTTACTGTGGAGCTCTAACGCCACCTCAGCTCCAGCTGACAGTGACGCTAACCGCGCCCTCTGCTGGACCTCAAGAGAACTACACTGTGAGCTCTGACTTCAGAGCCCTGGTGTGGACAGAGAGAGGTCACACCTTAAACCCAGTTTCCTGCTGGACTGGTCACACTGGTTAAACTGGTCCACACTCCCAGTATCAATGTTCCAGCTGAGACTGAGTCACAGAGCTGGACTTCACTTCAAATACCTGACCAGGTCACATTCCTGAGGGCGGAGCCTGCTCTCTGAGTAAACGTGTGTGTGTGTGTGTGTGTGTGTGTGTGTGTGTGTGTGTGTGTGTGTGTGTGTGTGAGCACACTGAGTTTGTTCTCCTGCTCTTCATCATGTCGAAGTTGGTTTCAGTTGTGAATGTGAACAAACAGGAAGTGGAACTGATTCCAAAATCTAAACAAACTTCCTCTTCTGGTTTCTTCTTCCTCTTCGGAACTTTGTTTGAATCACGTTCATTAATATTATTATTATTACTCTTATTATATGTACTTTCACAATAAAAGGTGTGTAATTTAACTGTGTGTGAGTGAATGAACTCAGCTCATTATCTCAGAGCTCAGGAAGAAGAAACTGAAAAGTGTGGACGGCCATTTAAATCAATATTCAATAAATCAATAAATACAGCTATAAAATAAATACATTAGGTAACAAATATAGAAATAAGTGTAAATATAAATATATAACTGAATAAATAATTGCTTTTTATTTAAAAACCTTTTTATTTTTTCCAGAGAAAAATGTCATTTTTAAAATAAAAAGTAATTTATTCAGTTATTTATTTGTTTGTTTATTTATTTATTTCTTGCACTACTACTTTTATTTTCTGTCCATGTTATTTTATCTACATCTTAAGATTTCTATCAGAGTTATATCAGATCCCTGACCTGATCATCATGATGTCACTTCCTGTCTGATCAGCTCTGCAGTCAGACAGACCAGTTCTTACCGACTGTCTGTCCGTCCTGCTGGTTTCCTCGCTGACTGCAGGAGCTTCAGTTTCATGCCACTCCTCCTCCTCCTGCTCCTCCCCCTCTCCCCCCTCTCCCGCTCTGCTCTCTGCAGGAGGAGCGACGCTCTGCTCCGTGCTGAACGCCGCCCAGGACTCCCCCTCCACCTGCTGCTGCTGCTCCCCGAAGGCGCTCCATCCTGCATCCGCCTCCCCGTCTGCGGCCTCCACAGCCGAGCTGAAGTTCCCGAAACTGTCACTGACGGGGAAGTCGGCGAACTGTCCCCCATCGCCCCCCTCCCTCTCACAGCTGTGAAACTTGGGGGAGTTGAAGTCTCCGAAGTCGTCGTCCTCGGTGCGCGCAGCTTCCTGTGCAGCAGCAGAGCCGTGCGACCTGTTCGGCTCCTGCTGCTCGAAATCAGCAAAGCCCTGAGCGCCGAACGAGCCGGCGTCTCCAAAGTCCCCAAAGTCCTCGTCCTCATCGTCCTCTGCCAGCTGGCTGTGGTCGGCGGGTGTGGCGGTGTCCCCCTGGAGGGGCGGAGAGGGCGCAGAGCCCGTGGTGCTCATGTCACCGTACTCCTCTAGAGCGTCTGTGGACAGCGGCCGGCCAAAAGACGTCTCCGTCTCCGTCTCGTCCGACTGTCCCGCCTCGCTGTCTGCAGCTGCGTCAGGCGAGAGGTCGTGTTCGCTGCAGCCTGCGGCGTCTTTGGATTCGTCCCCGTCAGCTACGTCCACCCGGGTCAGAGGGAGGGGTTCATTAGTGCAAGCGTCCTCAGAGGCAGAGCGCTCCTGTGCAAAGGCTACGTCCCTTTGTAGAGAGTCCCGGTCCAGAGTCTCGGCGGGGACAGATATAGAGTCAGAGCCGGACGTGTTGGGTCCAGTTCTGTTTGTGTCCCTGACATTGTCCTCTGAAGTCGTTCCCTGCTCTAAAGTACAGCGCTCGTCATGGCTCCGCCCTGTGGGACTGTCCTGGTCCTGGTCCTGGTCCTGGTCCTGGTCCTGGTCCTGGTCCTGGGCCTGGTCCTGGGCCTGGGCCGCCGTCGGGCAGACGTGTCCTTCAGCATTGGAAAAAGCAGCAAAATCTGCAAAATCGTCCTCTGGGCTGCAGACGGGGACGCTGCCTGCGTCCTCGCTGGACGTTCCTTTTATATGAGAGTGGACAGAATTCAGTGAGGAGGGGCTTCCCTGAACATCAAAGGTCGTGAACCCGTTTGTGAGCACCTCTGTGCCGCCGCCATTACAGTCAGCGAGCTCGCCGCCAGCCGTGTCGCTCGGCGGGAAACCCAGGGAGCTGGAGACGACTTTTTTCATCTCAGTTCTTTCTGAGGGACCGCTGCCCGGGTGGCTCGGCGGCACGACGCCATTAGCCTTGGACAGCTGGTTAGTGGGGTTGTGGGTGCCATTAGAGGAGCGGCTGAATCCCATCAGCCCTCTGCTGTTGAGGAGCTCGGGCGGCGAGGTGGCGGTCAAAGCTTGGGTCTGGTTAAAAGTAGTCGGGGTGTCGAACTCTGTGAAGCTGATGCTGCCCGGGACGCCAGAGAAGGTGCCGAAGTCTCCAAACTCGTCTTCCTCTTCCTCTGCGCCATCCTCCAGCGGCGGCGGGGACGAGGAGTATATGCGAATCACATCTGGCTCCATGATTCTCTGGCGGTTTACGAATCCTCCTGGCTACACCTGAGAGAGAAGACATGATCAGAAACAGGATCCACCACAGGCGACATGTTTTTAGAAACCTGGTTTTATCAACACAGGAAGTGAGTGAGGGCGGCGCTCCACGACCTCCACATCAGTTTGACGTGTTGAATCAGTGAAGCGCTAACAGACATTTATCCAGTTATTAAGTACTGAAGAGGATCAGAGACACGTGACAAAAAATTATAATTTTTTTAAAGTCAGAATTCTAAAAAAAAAAAAGAAGAAAAAAAGAAAAAATTCAGAATTAAAAACAAGAATTTCACACATGGTGCTAATCCTCTTCCATTATTAGACACTCGCTGCATCAACACTTTTTTTTATGAAGCTGCTCTTATGAAAGTTTTTAACGCTGCTCTCTCATGTCATGGTCGTGACAAATAAATCTGATTCTGATTCTAATGATAAACTGATCATTAAGGGTAGGGATGCCCCGATCGATCGGCCGCTGATTAGAGATATGTATTAGAAACATGTGATCCTTAGATGCGAGTTAAAGCTTGTAGTCAGTGATCTCCTTCAACCGATCACCTGTGGTTAACGCTCTGAGAAGCTCTGTGTCCTGTGTAGTGAAGCCCCGCCTCCCACCGACAGGCCGCCAAAACAAAACAACATGTCGGCCGCATGGAACTTTGACAAAGTGTGAGACTGATACAACGTACGGCATCTGTAACATCGGAGTTAATGATCTGAGACTTGTTGCCTTTGATTGATTAGACTATTTGCATGGTTTAGGTTATTGAATAGCTTAATAATTATTTTTCAGTCTGTTAATAATTGTCTTAATTCACATAAGTTAACACACGTGATTAATTAATTATTACACTGTGTAATTCAGTTGTCCCTACTGTAGGATACTTATTGCTGCTGCTATAACAACACACACAAAGAGTTCGGTATCGACCGACCTCTCATAGATGATCGTATCGGAGCGACACCTGATGCTGTTAGAGTCACAGAAACAATCAGCTGTTCACAACAGACACAAACTGAAGGAAGACTTTGTGTTTGTGAAGACACTGTCCAGACTCTTCAACCAGCTTTACAAGATCAGATCCACAGAGAAATGCACACAGCCTGTATTCAGAAACTGAGCCTTAAAACCAGCCGTCAGGACTTCTGGAACTTTGTGATGTCACAACAAAGCAGTCACCAAGCCCCGCCCACCTGGACCCACCATCCAAACCTTGCAGGATTTGGTTTCTCTGAGTGTTTTTACCTGAAATCTGCTGTATTTTTATTGGATCACTCAGAAAACAGTCAGCCAATCAGAAGAGAGGCTCAGAGCCTCCTCTGGTAAGGCCTTTACAATAATAACTTTATTTATATTGCATAGAGCTGCACAATATGCAAAAAAAATCATATTGCAATTATTTTGGCAGATATTGTGATTTCAGTGTGAATGGTGTTTTTTGAAATGATGACAATGTGATTTCCATTGGTCTTGTACCAAACAAACATGTTTACATGTTCTGGTACATCTGGAGGATATGATTCGTTTATTGCTGGTTTCTCCAGGTGTCAGCAGGTGACTAAAGGGGACCGGGTCAAAGCCCCAAACTGTGGAACAGTCGACCTGCTGAGATCAGACAGGCCGTATCTTTAGTGCTCTATAATATTATCTATATCCTCATCTGACTTACTTCTGTTTATGATGCATTTGTTTTTCTTTTGTTTTCAATTCCCTTTTTCTTTCTGTGAATCACTTTGTAACTTTATTAAGAAAAGTGCTATATAAAGAAAGTTTATCATCACTATTATTATTATTACTATATGATTTGTAGGTCGGGGCCAACTCTTTACCTTCATCAATAGAAACTGCAGCTCCTGTGATTTGTATATTGCACTTGGTCATGTTGAGATTTCAATTAGATTTCACCTAACTGTGCAGTGCTAATCTGATTAAAAACAGAGTTTACAAAGGGCTTTGACAAATGAATCAAAAGCAGGACAGATACAGGTAGAGTTACAGAGGGAGGACAAACAAGACGCTTCATGTAAATAAGGACAATTAGAGTATAGAACCACATACACAAATACAGTAAAAGTAATAAAAGGGCGACATGGAGACGATAAAAAAAACAACATCACATAAAAGCAAGTCTATAAAAATGAGATTTAAAAAGTGATTTAAAGTTAGTGATTCTGCCTCAGCTTCTGGGGTTGTGATGTTGGGCTTTATGATTAAACCTGACTACTTCTAAATGTACCAGATACACTGCTCATGTGTCATTGGACCATTTATCAGACCAGTTCTTGCAGGAACCTTCCATGTTGTTATTTGTTATTTAAAATCCCGCAGAACAAAGTGTGACCAAGTCTTTCTGAAATAAAAATGAAGATTATATCTCCGTCTCACGACGACTGTTTGCTTTGTTGGCCTTATCTCAGAATACCTGGGAGCAGGTAGTTCACACCCGGGCCGTGCTGAGCCGGACCACAGACAGCCCCCCCCCCCCCCCCCCCCCCCCTCCCCGACTGTTGAGTGACAGCAGCTTTAACACAGTCTCTTAAATTATGTCCAACTCAGCGACCGAACTCTGTCGGTTCAGACAAACTTTCACACCTTTTCTTCACCTGTCTGACGTCGGTAGTTCTCTGAAGCTAGGAGGCTAACGTAGCTACATCGGTTAGCATCTAGCTTGGCAGGCTAAGGAGGCTCGCTGACACTGTGGGTAGCAGAGTAGAGTCGTGATGTGGAATAGAAAATAGAGTAGGATAGCAGTGGAGTGAGACTAACAGCTAGGTCAGGGCAGCTAATTAAACTACACGGCCGAGACACTTCACTGAGATGGAGTGTAATTGGCTAACTTAGCTTAGCTCGGTTAGCCTGTGTGGAAAAGCTGAATTCACCGTGTTGCTATGAGCGATGTTAGCCGTTAACGTCTCATCATGTTGTTTCCACTTTACCGAGTCGGTTCCGGTGTTGAACTACAAAAACACACGGTCACATCTCAGATTTAAAAAGGCTTAAAAAACACCTGAAGCTTCAGATACAAGTCAGAGAGAAGTCAACACCTCAGCTAACTGCGCAGCTAGCTAATACTGACAACAAGCTTCTAGCGTTAGCTTTAGCTTTAGCGTCTCTCCGCCGTCCGGCTCGGTCTGACAGCCGGTGCCTCCGTTACCGACAGAAACAGTTGAACTAACCGTGAGCTGTCGTCCACCGATGTCCATGACTCGGTTAGAGACAGTACTGTCCGCAGATTGTCAGCTGGAGCCGGCTGCACAGAGCAGGACGGCTGGAAGTGAAGCAGAAGTGAAGGTTGACTCAGCCGGCTGCTGCTGCTGCTGCTGCTGCTGCTGCCCTGCCTCAGTCCCCCAGCATGCACCGCCGGAGAGCGGAGCGGGTTAGGGTCCGGAGCACGGACCGAGGCGGACAAGAAATATCTAACGAGTAAAATAACACAAACAAACGACACAGACAATTATACATTCTATATTTAATCAAAATATGATTAAATATATTAAATATTTCTTAATCTGAGAGAAACAATCTATGTTGTGCATGTTTCTGTGTGATTACATCTGTAAAAAAAAAGCCTTTTATTATATTATATTTAATATTATTGTTGATATTTGCATTACTGTATAATCATTAATCAATCATCTGTCAATGTTTATAATTTTCTGTGTTTTACATATATATATATATATATATATATATATATATTTTATATAATTTTATTTTTTATTCTTCTTTAATTATTGTACATGTCCTTTAATTAATAAAAAATGCAGGTATGTTATAGTGTCGTCATACATTCAGATTAATACTGATTAAGGTCTTGCGGCCTTGAACCTGTGACCGAATCACAACAGTGTTGATATTCAGAACAACATCTCTCCCTCACTGTGATGTTTTTTATACAACAGTTCTCCGCCATATTAGTGCAATAAGCAACAACAGATTATGATCTGTTTGTTTATTTTATCATTTATTTGTCTACGTCAACACAAATAGTTCCGCAACTGGACTGGTACTGACTGTTGCTAAGCAACACATAAACATTTCCCTGACCTACACACTGCACATTAGCTTGCTACTTTGTCTACACGTTACCTCAGGTGTGCACTGAAATACCCAGGCTTTTTCCCTTTTCTGACGATCATCAAATGTTATTTCTGGAATATTCATCTTTGCAAAGGTTGTTATAATCTGAGATAGATAACGGCCGTTAATGTAACGCCAATTAATGGTTAATAGAACACCTGTAAAGCAGAGTGATACATGTAGTTCAGTGCTGTTATACTTTAAATCAGCACTCATTTGGAATGCCCCTCGTCCAATCAAATCACTTGGTCAAAAGAGAGAGATAGCTCGGTTAGCCTGTGTGGAAAAGCTGAATTCACCGTGTTGCTATGAGCGATGTTAGCCGTTAACGTCTCATCATGTTGTTTTCCACTTTACCGAGTCGGTTCCGGTGTTGAACTACAAAAAACACACGGTCACATCTCAGATTTAAAAAGGCTTAAAAAACACCTGAAGCTTCAGATACAAGTCAGAGAGAAGTCAACACCTCAGCTAACTGCGCAGCTAGCTAATACTGACAACAAGCTTCTAGCGTTAGCTTTAGCTTTAGCGTCTCTCGCCGTCCGGCTCGGTCTGACAGCCGGTGCCTCCGTTACCGACAGAAACAGTTGAACTAACCGTGAGCTGTCGTCCACCGATGTCCATGACTCGGTTAGAGACAGTACTGTCCGCAGATTGTCAGCTGGAGCCGGCTGCACAGAGCAGGACGGCTGGAAGTGAAGCAGAAGTGAAGGTTGACTCAGCCGGCTGCTGCTGCTGCTGCTGCTGCTGCTGCCCTGCCTCAGTCCCCCAGCATGCACCGCCGGAGAGCGGAGCGGTTAGGGTCCGGAGCACGGACCGAGGCGGACAAGAAATATCTAACGAGTAAAAATAACACAAACAAACGACACAGACAATTATACATTCTATATTTAATCAAAATATGATTAAATATATTAAAATATTTCTTAATCTGAGAGAAACAATCTATGTTGTGCATGTTTCTGTGTGATTACATCTGTAAAAAAAAAGCCTTTTATTATATTATATTTAATATTATTGTTGATATTTGCATTACTGTATAATCATAATCAATCATCTGTCAATGTTTATAATTTTCTGTGTTTTACATATATATATATATATATATATATATATATATATATATAT